GACATGAAATGAAGCTCGACCACTCCACACCCCAAACTTTTTTTTCGATTGTCGTCGTCGCATCTTCGACACATTCGAACCAACAAACAACCGCGCCCACGGCCATGCTCACCGAACAATTCGTGGCCGCCATTTCGGCCTCGACAAAACCCAACACGGGCGTGCAAAAGGATGCCGCCATCTTCGTACACGAATTGGAGATCGGGGGAGTGTGTGGGATATGTACGTTTGCGAGGGAGTTGAGGGCTGGGCAGGGGGAGCGGACGTCGTTGGGGCCGGCGGGGTGCCAGTCTTCGTAGATGGAGGCCTTGGCGAGGCCGAGGAGGTTTAGGGACACGAAGAGGAAGTTCATGTTGCTTGTGGTGTAGGTGCTTGTTTGCTGGTTTGAGGTTTGAGTGGTTGGGTGTTCAGTGTGTCGCTGCGTTGTTGGCTAGTCAACAAGGAGCGTGGATGTATGTAATATGAGTGGGATCTTCATCTAACTTAGTATTCTTAGAGATGAAGTGCAACTCTTCTAGTTCTGGTAATAGATATCCGGATAGAAAAGGTGTTGCTGGCTAGACGGTATTTCGAACGCTGTCCATGTGAAATCATGTACCATCACCTTGACAACCTCACTCCAGCGACTGATAGCGGCGTTTATAGTGAATCACCAAAGAAACTCTGTCTTCTGGTTTGACAGAGCCATACTTGAAATGGCTTTCAAGCGTGCAAGCCAGGCCCCGTGGAGAAGTCATCAAAGTCCATCGCAACCAGGTTGTCGACTTCGAACCAACCTGAATCCTCGATACCCGTGCCCTGAGCTTCAAATTAGGCAGAGAAAGGATTCCGTGCAGCTGCCCACGCGACCGTGGATATTGTGGCTCATCTTCGCATGCGAAGCTCGACGTGCGTGCTGACCAGGTCACGAGTTACCGTGCAGGTCACCAGTACAACGACTTTGCTCTTTGTTTCTCTGCTATGATCTCACCAATCTATATTCAATCATGTGTAAGACTTTTCTTCCCATGAACTGAGAATACTGGGTCGAATTTCCTCTGTGCCACATATTGAAAGCATTGCCCCGATTGAGGCATCGATTGTATGGCATACCGGTAAGCATGCCAAGCGAAACTCCAATGAGAAGCTTACTGCCACCCACATTGTGAAGAGTGTTGCGTAGCTTTAATACCAAGTGCATCCGATGATAGAAATTCTGGATGATGGAGCACGTCGAGGAAGCGGCCATTGTCAATGTCTGAAATTCGTACCTAAATATGGCTGGGAGACCTCCAGCTAGTTTACCCGCTCTTGTTTTGTGCCTGCAAATCCGGGGTCGCTGAACGACCTCCATAATTTTCAGTAGCATCCCTGTGGAGATGGCTTCTTGCTTTCATTTGTAAAAACTGTTCGTATTACGTGCTGTGTGGCATAAGGACTATTTGAATTCGCATTTTTTAGCGGTAGTTTGGACTAGAGGCAAAAGTAAAACCATGAGCGTCGTAGATCTGCCGGAATCTCGCGGCTGTCTAATCCCTTCGCAACACCCCAGATGAATGATTACATACTTTCATCGCATCAGTTTCACTTTGTCACTAAGGCGCCATCTGACTTGCTGAAAAATCTGGACTTGGCCATGACGCTGGAGGCTTCCACAGCCTCGTACATATAATACTGCAAGCTGCTTCGAGTGTAATCCGAGGTGAATAACACGCAGCGCACATTCCTATTGAAGTGCTCCTGTTCATCAGCGCCCGGCATGCAGCATCCATGGATCGTAGCCTGAAACAATGTCACATATCAGGAAACCTCCTTAATGACGTGTTGTATGCGTGCGCATGCTGTGCCAGCCGAGTGCTTGACCAACTTACGATGGCTACTCTCTGAGCGAATGATGTCGAAAACCTGCAAAAGTAAGCCGTGACACGGCATGTAGACCATAGGATTGGTCCAGGCTGTGTAATCAATTGCACAAAGTCATATCGACCATGTTGTGTATGGGTCAGACGCATAAAGCCACTATTGCGTGATTCGTAATGTCGACCAGGGACCGAGCTGCCTTCAGGTGCCCGATTCATTCCCTTCCGCCGGTGGACTGCCCGAAGTGAAGCAAAATCATTTTCAGAAAGAAGTATACTACGTAGATAGTAAGCAGTATCCGGCTGGGACCGGTAAGGAAGCTTGTTGGCGAGCATTCTTGTCGTAGCAAAACGTAATTGTTCGTATAGGAATTCCGAAACACAGAAAAGTACTTTTGTAGTAAGTAGGCTTACGAGTCGATATGCGTAGACTCGCATCCTTTTTTATTGGTAACCAGCCGGAAGCTGGCATATAGCGAGCTAACAGGGTTCCATTCAGACCAGCGTCATGGCACTTGTGTTGTGAAGCCGGCCCCACGGTGCGAGCCCAGGCTTAAGATGACAAGAAGTCCAAGTTGGAAAGCCACCTGTGCTCCAGTATACTGATTTACAAGCCCTGTGTCAATCTAACACTGGCGTTGATCAGCGCCACCGTGAACGAGCTGTTGCCGGGAAAGGTAGAGAAGGTTTTGCAGGAGCATGTACTCGTCCGCCTCGGATGGCCGTGGGGGACCATTGTACGCCAAATGCCGTAAGCTGAAGAAAAGTGCAGGCCAGACGTAGCATACAAAGGGACCCATAGGTATGCTAGCATCTCCATAGCATACATGTAGGCGTCCGTATTGCGCCCGTCCACGACAGAAGTTTGGGACTGAGACAAGGCTTTTCGATCTAGTAGCTGAGGAAAGGCAGCCTCGGATCGAGAGAGGAAAGGCTGTGGTGACTTCAAGGTGCAGGTAGGAGAGGGCCTCGAGCTGGTCTTGAGGCTTGATGTGGCACCAGTTGGCTTCGTAATTCGGCGAGACTGGGTGCCATGAACAAGGCCTCCGCGTGCTGATTCGTCCGAGGACTCGGCTCCGGCTAGGCCACTAGCGAGGCGGTACTTGCGCGGGCGACGAGGCTGAACAAGGGAAACCAACAAGAACATTCAGCAACGCTGTGAGATGCTGGTGCTGATGCTGATGCTTATGCTGATGCTGAAACAGATATACAAGCCCAATTGCCAAAGCTCATAAGGTGCGTCGTGAGTAGAGTGACGATGCGACGCGAGCGTCCAGGACGTTGGCGAGGCTAAACTAGCGAGCGGTGGTCGCGAACCACGACGAGCGATGCAGGGCGACGATGGGCAGGCTGTTGATCGCAGCACCTCGCTTTCCCCAGCAAGCCTCGCTCTCTTGGTTGTGCAGTTTGTCGCGAGGGCGGAATGATCCGAGCAGGGGTTCGACGGGATCCTTCGTGTCTTGTTCATTCTCTGGCCAGCCCGGTGAAGTGCCCGTCGCCAGCTACGTGACTTTATGCCGTCTGATTCGCCCTTCCCATGAGCCAGTTCCTTCAGCCTGAGGCAGATGCCCAATAGGCACTCAGCTGGCCGCTTATGCATGGCTGCAAGCCCGGGCAAGATGAGAAAGCGAGGCTGACTGCGCCCTCCAGCCTCGTGCGCACTCCACCTGCCCACTGAAAATCCCAACATCAGGCAGAAGCTCCCCCGCGCTCCCCAGAGTATCTCGGAAACACAGCACACTTCACGAACACTCTGGCGGCTACTGTGTATGTTGCCATCGTCCAAGCCATCAAGTTTTAGCTGCCGTTGGAGCTGCCGTGCCGCCCCACCACTGGTACACATCAACTTCTGGGCCCCGACTACGTTGGGACCGACCGTGTCCGCGCTCATCCAGTCTTCTGGGTCCGTGAAGAACTGTACATGCCTCCTACAAGGACAAGAGCCAGGATGAAAGAAGCAACACAGGCCGGCATCTCGGCCACCGTCCAACCCAATCTGTTCGCTGAAGCACCACCGTCAGCATCCAAGGAGACCATTGTGACGATACCAGCGCCTAATTCTAGTCCTGATACTTCGCCTACATTCCAATCGGTCAGCTCCAAAACGCCCACTCGCAGAGTGCTGCGATTGAAATGTCCACTCTGCACTGACTATCCCGACGGCTTCCGCAGCGAACATGAGTTGCGACGTCACACCAACCGTGTCCACAGAAAGATACGCAAGGTCTGGATGACAGTCGACACTTCGCCAGACAAGACCTTTCTTGCCAACTGTAAAGCGTGTCAGACTGGGAAAAGGTACAACGAGTGCTACAATGCAGCCAGCCACCTCCGGCGCATGCACTTCCATCCTCATAAGCGTGGCGAGAGGAAGATGACTGCTGCCGAAGCTCGACGTGGTGGAAAACCCGGCGACCTGGATCCTCCTATGGATATCTTAAAGGCAAATTGGCTGAGGGAGGTGGATGAAGTTCTCGGGGACGACAACGAGCCCATCGTGGATGATGCAGAGACCGTCACCAGGAGCCCGTCCCAGCTGTTACCACCGCCTCCACCACCCCCTCAGGTGCAAGTCCATCCTCTGCAACCGCCTACGATGAAATCTTCCGAGGGGAAAGCGCCACCGACACCGACAACACCCTCAACCCGTTCGATGGCGATTGACAGTATCGTAGACAAGATGGATGCGTCGTGAGTTAAGCGTGTTTATATCATGATGTACACCACCATGAACAACTAGGGTGTACTCCCTTGCGAGTCTCGGGGTAGGTGCCAGTCACCATGAAGGCGGGGAATGGTATGGTAGAATGATGCCTGGTGTCTTGGAGGTAGACCTCATCATCGCCCATCTCTTCTGAACGGGTACAGTGGTGGGCTTGTGCCCAAGGATCAACACACAACAGAAACATGGCCACAGAAGACCAATGTAAGATGCAGGAGGGGGGTTGGTATGGACACTCTGGTGAGCTCCACATTGCTTCAGACGTGTCCATTGGCGCTGATGGCGTTGGGGTCAAGTTGGCGGGATGGTAAGGACACATTGTCGTGGTAATAGATAGCGACAGAACAGATCGGACGAACTATCCTATTCTTCATCAGATCAAGCCTCGTATACCACAGAACATGCATTTCTTCACAGCCGTAGCGACCCCACCGCAAGATTCATCTCGGCCTACCTTGGGGCATGGTCACTGCAGTTTCTCGTTCGGACACGATAGAAGGGTAGAGCATCATCGCCTGGTTGGAGTGTGCCTGGATGAAAGAAGCTTGTGTAGAGGTGACCGCAATTATGTGTGACGGGAGACGAAGTGGAATTAAGGCATGTCGATCAGGAAGGGGTAGGCACCACTGTGGTGGCAAGGGTCGCTACTTCCGATCTGGGCCCATGCGCCAAACAACACACATTGGTACAGCTCTGACGTCCCCAATCTGTCAAATCTCTCTCGCAACCCTTCTCCTTCTCCCTCTCCCTCTCCACCCTCCTCTGCAAGCTGGAAGGCGTGTGCCTCATATCTCCTTTCTCCTTTGCGCGGCATTGCCCATCTTCGGACTGGAGATACCGGTAAGACAGCTGATGCTCGTTTTCCACAGTTGCACAATGGACTGCCCCACTCCACCATTTTGCACCCACATTTGAAACCTTTGAATGTCTCATTCGCACAGCAGACCTGGAAGGTGTGTTAGCGATCCTGAAATCTACCATTTCACTGCCATATCATGGAAGCCGCACATCAAGACTCTATGGAGCAAGCGCATGGCATGTAGGGGGGACTCAGGGTCGAACACAAAGCTACGAATACTACAGGGATTTATTCCAAACCTGCCAAATTCTACAGTTTTCTCACAGAACAATATCTTCGCAGGGTCTCAGGGGAACTTTGGCTTGACTACCAGAAACACTACACGACATGCTCCTGTTACATGGGGACTCGTCCTCGATATGGCTTGTCAATATCTCGCCTTGCACACAACTCTCTCATCATTCGTTAGAGATACATGTGAAACTTGCCGCATCGCTATTACTGCCAGAAATATGGACAGATCTAAATAAGAAGCACCTTGTTACCTTCAATTTCAGTGGGCAGAGACCGTAACGCTTTCGATCACTAGTGCTCTTGTATACGGGCGTGCCAAGCACGAGATGGCCAGAGAGTATTCGAGGGACGGTCAGATTCAAGGGCCACTCAGACTCTAAGGGTGAGACTTAACAGTCCTCCAAATGCTAGACGTTAGGTATTTGGGAAGAATTTGGGATATGAATGGCACTACAGAAGCTAATGTGTCTATCGAAAAGGTTGTGCGGCAAGCAAGAGCGATCACCAAATCGAAATTCTCAAAGGCAACCACCTTGTTTGATTTGGGCCCTGGTATTTTATCCAGCGACAATCCTTGAATTCATGAGGAAGACATTCATCGTCTCGACGCAACTCCAATTTACAATCACGAAATCCAATATGTCCCCTTTGAAGCAGGGACAGATGGCTACATCGACATGATGGCAACTCTAGATGCAGCACCACTATCAAATGAAGAAACTTATCTCCCTACATATCATGACAAAATATCATCCTAGAACCCACATTCCTCCCCCCTTTTCGTCCTGCACTACGGTAAAAACATTGTTTACTGTAGAATGGTACGCTAGGGGTTTACTATATAGGTGTAAACTAACCTCGTGTATACCTGTAAATAGGTTTAAAGTAGTAGTTTACTTTTATAGTAGGGGTTTAAATTAAGTATAAAAAGTAGTTTTATTTCTATTATACGCTATAATACCTAACTAAGACTAAAAGGGGTAGAAAAGATTAGCTTCACCCTATACGCACATATGACATAATAATAAGTCATGATATTTTTACTAATAGGAGGTGGTGATAATAGAGGTGGTGATAATAGAGGTGGTGATAGAGGTGGTGGTGGAGGTGGTGATAGAGGTGGTGGAGGTGGTGATAATAGAGGTGGTGGAGGTGGTGGTAGAGGTGGTGAAGAAGATTAAAGAAAGGAGGGGTAAAATACTTAAATAATTAGTAGGAAACTAGTTATTACAGTACTACGTAATACTAGTAGATTAATAGAAGTAGAAATAAAAGTAGTTTACTTTTGTGGAATATATAGTATAATAAACCCTATTTAGGTTTACTTCTTCTACCTAAACCACTTCTTAGTCTACTTTAGATAAATATGGCTACTGTAAACCGGTTTTGTACTGTAGTGCCACACATTGTTGCCGTTGTGCGGTTTGCTTGGTGCCGAGGTATTCCTTGCTGTTACTGTTAGTTCGGTGTGGCTGAATGCTTGATATACATAGTCACGCAGCAAGAATGCTTATTTTCGCGTACTTCAGTGACATATACATATCTCACATCTAGACACAAATTTTCCTCTGCAGAATTGTACTGTTCGAATTGGCTTTTGAATATATTATTGTATTCGATTACTGTATCGGGGTATCAACGTGAGCATGAAAAAAAAACCAACCAGCACTGCTTATCAGACGTTACGTCAAGAAAGAAAACCGTGTGGACTAGGGACAAAAGAAGCCAATGATTTCGCTTCTGAAATTCTGTCGTCTCGTCGCTGTCGTTGCCTCTCTGGCGAGAGAAGAAATATTCATACAAACTCGTATTGGTGGGGGTCGTTTGATAAGCGCCCATCCGGTTGCGCCGTGTTGCTGTCCCTAGTCCCAGGAGCAGACGGCTATATGCATATTATCGGGCCATTTTTTTTTATTTCCCTTGGATCTTTCCTCTACGAACTCCAATCTTTTGGCTTTGGGCGTCCGATATCAAAGTCGAATTCCGTCGTTTCGACTTCAATGTTGGTTTCTGTCACGATGTTAATACCGTTGTTGTGCGACGCAGGCTTGAATATCGAGTCTTGCGACCCTGCCCTTGTGGGACTGTCTTCGTGCACCGAATTCTCTGCCTGTGAGCGAGGATTGTGACTGCGAGCGCGGCGGTGCTCGACTATCCTCGAGAGGCGGTTGCTGCCGCCAACAATGGTGACTGTGCGGGCTGCGGCATTCATCGGCTCTTTGCTGTGTATGGATTGGAGGCCATAGTAGTTGTCATCGTCACCGGGTCTAGCGGCGTTTGTGGCAACTGCTGTTACGGTGTTGTGTGTGTGTTGGTTGTATTGGCCATTGCCATTCGAGTGGTCTTGGTGGGTCAAGACGTGGCGCGTGAGTGCATATACGAGTGCGTCGATCCAGCCGCATGATGTGAGAAGGCATCCGGCGATGCAGAAGAATGCATCTGGCATAGCAGTGCCAGTCATTGCAATCATTCGCCCTACCGCGATGGGTAGAGTAAGTACCACGTAAACGGCAGGATACCTTCATGCCAAAGGTTAGTGTTTGTCTCTCCCTTCAGCTACATCGTCGTTACCCACATGATCATGAACTTCGTGGCCCGGGTAAGCTTATTGGCGTTGTCATTAGCGATAATCGACCGAATGCGACCACGCAGATGAACGAAGATGTGCGCATAGATGATTATGGTACCGAATTCTACTATGAAAATCCAGAGGTAGTGTAGCCATAGACGCTCGCGCTGAAATTCGTCGGCTACCCAGCACTGCACCATGTCAGTTCTCTTCAAGTATGTGTTGAATGGTGTCGAACGTACCCAACCTCCAGCGCGAGCGAAGTAGCGCTCATGATAGATTGCCGGACCCAGTACAGCCAGGATAAGGGCGAAGAACCAAATGAACAGGATTGATAGCACAAACCACATATAAGGCAATTTGTATCCCTTGATCACTCCCATCCATGTATGGACCGCGATTGCGAGAACGAAGAAACCACTGGCGACATCTCCGATTTGGAGAAACCAAGCTTGAATGAAGCACGGGGTTGTGGGTGCCAAGATCTTGCCGATTTTAAGCCAATGGAATGATATCGAGAATGCTATTGATTGCTGGAGATCTGCGATCAAGAGGTTGTAGATGAGAATGACGTATTGGTTGTATCCGACATAATGACGGTAGTGCTTTCGCCATGAAATTAGTCGATGTGTGATAAAAACGAGCAATGCGGTGACGGAGACCAGACTCATCATGGCACAGAGCGCAACTGGAATGAGACCAATTTGAAAGACACGCGTGAGTGGATCCATGCTGTCGGGGTAGTCAAAGTATCGCTTCTCGAGCATCCGGGCCTCGATGGAATCCATGGCCGGGGTCAGATCGTGGTGGACGGCGTTCATGGTGAAGGAACTGAACACCTTTGCGATGGTGATGGCGACGGCGAATGCGACGCTTCAGTGAGGCGTGGGGAGTTGGGCTTGATGTCTACCCAAGTCATGACACCATGGCTGCTAAAGCGGCCTTCACTCGGGGCTTATGAGGTTCACAATCTAGATGCACAATCTAGATGCCACTCGTAAGAATTACGAAATATACTCCGGGGATGAATCTTTCTGTCACTCTGACACTGGGATGATGCTGGTAATCGAGGTTTGTCCGTCTGTGTGTACGTACGTCACGGACTATCTTTTCGGGAGCTCAAAGGGCTTGTGGTCAACACAAAGAGAATGTTGTCAGGAGAAGATGGAAAGTATAATGTGGCACCAAATGGGGAGGTGAGTAGAGATGGCAATGGGTCACAAGAACGGGTCTCAAGGAGAGCGGAGGGGCACTGTCACTGGGCCTTTAACTCAAATTGCGAGGGATCGTCGATATGTCCTCTCTGCTTTACCATGCAAGATGCCAATGCAGGTGCACCTATAGGCGCGGCACGTCGAACAGGTGCTAGGGAGTGCCTAGGCAGCCCAGCATGCTAACAGTAACAGGGGGTTACCGGGTAGACAGATAAAAGTTGGACTGTTGGAGCTGCTTCGAGGCTGCGCGTCTAACAACTTAGTCAGTTTATCAGCCGGTTACAACCACCCGACTACCGTACTTGTTCAACTTGCAGCCCTATCTGGTGAGACGGTTATACTTTGGTGCGCCTTTGCAATGATAGTCGAGTGAAGGAGCGCCGAATGGCCGAGCCCGCGTGGCCAGCCGGCAGCTCTTCGCTGCTTCTCCGAACCGAGCACTAACTGCCGCTGCATGAGGGCGAGCAATGTGAGGGAGAAGGTGGCGGGGAGTCGGGGACGTTGTTGGATCGTGTTGTGTGACAGGCTTAGAGGATGACACTGGGTTGATGTGGTGGCATGTCATATGACCATGGGTTTAGCGTCGGGCGACTTGGGCTTTACTCCGAGTGGTTAGAATATCCCTGTAGGTTCAAGTCCACGTCACAGCGGCAAATTTTTATAGTTATATAAACTAGCCTATAGTTAAGTATAAATTAGGGTAATTTAAGCAAGTAAATATAGTTTTTATTACTATCTTTTTTAAATATATTCTAAACCTATTCTTAATAATATATAAGCGTTCCTAAATACTATACTAGAGTTTAGTATAGTAGTACTAGATAACGTATCTAAACTAGATAGTAATATTAGAGATAAATTTAGGTAACTATATAAAGTGCTAGAGGAGGATAGTAGTAGTAGTATTAAGGAAGTAAGTAAAAGTAAATAGAATAAGTTTAGAATAGGTTAGTAACATATTATAGGGGTATAATATATACCTTACTTATAGTAATAGTTAAGGACTACTACTTACACTAGTAATTATTAAGTATATAGCTATTCTCCTAGTATACCCTTAATTATATAGCTAAGGGTATAAGTATATAATACTAGTTTAGCAATATAAAAATAGCTCTTACCTAATAAGAGAAGAGGTGCTTATATAGGCTATATAGGTAACACGTTAAGAATATATTCTTAAATTATTCTAATTCTAGTAGGTATAATACTCCTGCTAGTCTATCTATCTTAATAGGCCTATAACTTTACTATTCTTTAATAGCTAGCTAGCAAGCTAGTATAAATACTAATACTCTAGGGTAAAAGCGTATAAGTATCTTAAGAATATATTATAAACGTATTCTTATTATATTATTAATAATATATTATATAATTAGATCTAAACCTTAAAAAGTGTAGTACCTAAGAAAATTCTATAAAGAGAACTATAAATAAGAAGCTATTATTATAGCCTTATTAAGCGCTTCTTTTTAAGGATTTATAAGGACTACTAGGTGTCTTATTATCCTATAATAAGGACTATAGTAAATTAGGTAGGGAGTAAAACTTAAATATATTTAAAACATGTTAATAATAAGTTAGTAAATTATAGAATAGGCTTAACTATATATTAGCTATTAGAACTATAGCCTAATATCTACTACTAGGAAAAAATATTATTTTAGTTAGGTACTACTAGAGGTAGACTCTATATATCTACAAGGTCTTCTAACTAGGGAGATATTAAATCTTTCTAGTAGTCCTGCTTTATATTCTATAGTTAAGCTACAGTTAAGCTAGATAAAGAAGTGTGGTAGGTATATTGTAACCTATTCCTAACACGTTCCTAACATGTTCTAGGTATTAATTATCTATAAGGGCAAGGATCTCTATTTAAAATCCTGTGTAAAGTTACCTTCTAAGTAATTATACTAATAGATATAGTAGTAATACCTTTTTTTACTATTATTTCTTTTAGTATATATATATATATACCTCCTCCTCCCTTAATACTATCTAATAGTAATATTAAGGAAGTAGTAAAGGTGTTATAGCCTATACTTACTCTATAGCTTATATAATATAAGTTATTTGTAACCTATTATAAATATATTCCTAACTTATTATAGCCTAGTTCCTAAACCTAACCTAGCTCTAAACCTATCTCTAACTTAAAGGTTTCTATTCTATTAAAGAAATATATATTAGCTTTATAAATAAAGATAAAATCTTACGTATTATAAAGCGTGAAAAGCTTCTATAGTTCCTATTTAAGAGTAGCCTTAGAGGAGTATACTATAAGTAGAGGATAAAGTATTAGGATCCTAAAACTATATATAGTATAAGAGAATAGGTTTAGAATATATTACTAACACGTTACTATAGGCGTATATATAGCAAATCTTTATATTAAGCTTAGGTAACTTAATTATTTACCTTTTTAAAGAGTAGGTATTAATTCTATTAGATTAAGATATATTCTAGATAGATATGTTATATAAGAGGTTGTATAAGGTATAGGCAGAGATTCTAATAGTAATCTTCTACCTGTAGGAAAAGAAGTGTACGCATTAAGAATAGGTTTATAATATATTTCTAATATATTATAGTTATTATACTTAGCTAAATTATTATAGATAAGGATATAACTAAGATATATTAAGTTACTATTACTAACTTCTTTTAGAAGTATAAAGCACTTATAAAAAGATAAGTATTATAGAGGTATATTTACTTACAGGGATTCTATAGGACTACTATTAACATGTGTAATAAGTAGATAATAGGCAAGTTTTACAGCGCACTATAACCTGTTTGTAACGTGTTTCTAACTTGTTTCTAGGACTTAGGCGCTATCTCTAGTTAATTAATCCCTATAAGCGTAACTAGCGCTAGCAACTTTAATCTTATATAAGATTTTGTTAAGTATATCTATAAAGAAGTATTTATAAAGTATATAAAAGAGAGCTAGATAATACTACCTCTTTATATCTAAGTAAATTACTACAGGTATTAATAGCAGAGGAATACTTTTAGCTTGCTAACCTCCTCTTATATAAGTAAATATATTCTAAACCTATTCTAAATATGTTCCTAACTTATTCTTATATAATTAGAACACAAACCCTCTAAAGATACCTAAAACTAGGTAATCTATAAGAAAAACCTAGTAATTACTGCTAGGATTATATAATACTATAGTAAAATATTAAAAGAGGTATAGGAAAAACTAGAATCTTATTTAAATATAGCTAAGCAAGCAGGCTAGAAAGGATATAAAACTAGTAAGCATGTAAGTATTCTTAAGGCTACTTAGAAGTAAGTTTATAACCTATTCTTAACCTATTAGAATTGTATAAGTAATATTATATAGTACACACTAGATAGATCTATAGGATATAAAAGAGTTTAAAGCCTAGAGCAAGTTTAGAATACGCTATAACTATAGAACTCCTAATAGGCTTAAGCAAAGGTACCTTAAAAAGCTTTAGAGGGGAGAAAGTAAGTCTTACACTAGCGTTATATATATTTGCTAATTAAAACGTGTTTAGAACGTGTTTAGAACACGTCCTATAATAATAATAATACTCTAGATAATAATAAAGCAAGTCTTACTATATCTAACTTAACTAGATATATCTTAGTCCTAATAAGAAATAAAAGAGCACGCTTAAAAGCCTAAAGCTAGAGGGCAAGTAGTAGAGTGGTATTAGAAAGAAGTTTACTAGCCCCTTTTCTATCTTCTCTACTACTAGGCTCTTCTCCTCTACTAATAGTAACCTAAAGGTATGCTTTATAAAACACATTTATAATATATTCCTAACTTATTATTAGTCTATAACTATAAACTTTATAATAAAAGGCTCTTCTTAGTAATTAGGCTCTAAAGGAGAGAAAAGAAAAGCTAGAGGTAGATAAGGAAGAACTTATATAGAAAAAGGCACTATTTAAATTATAAAAGGTATAGTTTAAACTTAAGAAAGAGATAGCTACTTTTTATATAAGGTAGGGTTAGTCTATAAATATAGTAACTAGTTCCTAACTAGTTCTTAATATATTCTAGTCTATTATATAAGTATATATAAGCAGATAAATATATATTCTTTCTTCTTCTCTTTCTTCTTCTTTCTTCTTATACTCTACAAGAACTTTTTATATTTAAGAGTTTAATACTATTTTACTATCTATCTTTCCTAATATTATTAGATATAACTAGTTAATATAGTCTATAAAGATCTTTTAAAGTTAGTATATAATAGAACGCGTTAGGAACATGTTATAAACTTGTTCTAATACTAAGTAGGATTTATACTAGCAATATATTAAGCTTAAGTTACTTCTATCTAGTACTAGGGTATTCTCTCCTATAATATCCTACCTAAATAAAGGGTGTATAGTATTTCCTAGCAAGCTTTTCTACTAGGCTATTTAGGCTAGATTAGGGGTATAGGAACTTTGTAGAGTATGTATATATGCAAGTTAGAACACGTTTACAATATATTAATAACTATTTTAGTATTGCTTCTCTAATAGAAGTAATCTTATCTACTACCTTAAGAGGTATTATCCTAAGGTTTAAATAGCCCTAGTAAACTATAGTAGAATTATAATACAAGGTATTATAGAAGCAAGGATCTTCTATAGGAGCTTAATAGTAAATACTTAAGAACGTGTTCTAAACACGTTAATAATACGTTCTCTACTAGTAGAGTAGACTATACTAAGTGCCTCCTCTAAGGTTTAAGAACCCTCTAAGATAGCTAGTCTATAATAAGAAGTAGTAGCTAGAGTAGAGGCTAAAGAGGAAGTAGAGAGTAAAGAAGAGGAGTAAATAGTTGCTCCCCTTTACACTATAAATAATATTTAGCAAAAGTAGTAAAAAGGAGATATAAGTCTAGTCTCTTAAAACATGTTTAGAATATATTAACACTATATTATAGCTAGACACCTATAAATACTAGATTCTTCTTTAATCTAAGGGACTACTAGAGCTTTATAATACTTATAAAAGTAAAAAGAAAAAGTTATATACTATTAAAGGACCCTATAAAAGTAAATAGTACTTTACTTTTAGTAGATAGAAAAAAAAAAGAGAAGAGTAGAGAGTTTATTTTAGTAATTACTACTACCCCTTTAGGTTATATACTATTGTATATTATTTATTAGAACTTATTCTTAACACGTTCTTAACGTGTTCCTACTTATTACTATTATTATCTCCCTCCCCCTCTCTAGTATCTTCTCTATCCTCTCTATCCTCCCTAGGCTCTATAAAAGTATACTACAAGTAGAACTAGGTAGCATTCTAGTAGGAATTAGTAAGGTCTACACTAGTATTAAAGTAATAGTCTTAAAATATATTAGGAATAGGTTAATAATATATTATAAATAACTTACTATAGCTAGGATAATTATAAGCGCAGATAGTATAAGAAACCTAATAACCTTAAATCCTTAGTAGGGTAGATATAGTAACAAAGTTAAGCTATAACAAGTTAGTAATATATTTTTAATAGGTTCTTATAGGCTATACCTTATTACTATTATAGCTAGTATAAGTCTTCTTCTAAATTATATTTAGGAGGGTATTAGTATTTATAGGGGGGCCTATAGTAGCTACTAGCTAGGCTTAGAGAACTTCTATAAAATAAGTTAGTAATAAGTTTTAAATATATTCTAAATAACTTATAGCAAGGAGTATTCTAGTAATTATATATAACCTTTATATAGAAGTCTATATATATTAGTATAATAAGTTAAGAATAGGTTAATAATATATTTACTCTTTGCCTTATAGACCTCCCTTATAGAGGGCTAGCTAGTCTTCTTAACCCTACTAACCTTATAGTAGGCTATATTAAGCCTATAATCTTTTTTAGCATAGGTATATAGAGTGCCCCTAGTACCTAGAATAGCCTAAGAATATTAGAACCTATTTAGAACACGTTTAGAACCTATTCTTACTCTGTATAAGGTGCCCTTGTTATTAATCTTAGTATAGTAGTAGCGCTCTCTACTCTTTATCTTAACTACCCTATTAGGGCTAACTATAGGCTATACCCTAATATTATCTAGGATATAGCTAAGGGTAAGGTACTATTAATAGTGCTTCTATAACCTATTAAGAATATATTCTAAATATATTTTAATCTACTTACGTAGGATATAAGGGATGCGTTAGTAATAGGTATAGTAGTAGTAGCTTATAGTATTACTAGTATAGAATATATTTAGAATAGGTTTAGAACGTGTTGCAAAATCTTACAGTATAATATTTAGTTAACCTTACTTAGCTAGCTAGTAGAGCTTAGCACAGCCTAACCCTATACTAAATACAAGTTCACGCAGCGCTAATTCTATGGTCATATGAACTGCGCCCTCCTGGGTTGATGTTGCTGGCTGGAAGGGAGCGTCTCCGCCACGTGGGGTTCGACCCCTTTAACTACCGGTACAGGCATCTCCAGGCTCGCCAGACTGTCTGTGCCAGACGACAGACCAGACAACGGTCCAACGTGGCAACTCTTCTTCCCGCGCCATCGCTATGTTTGACCTCGGTACAAGATTTTGGTACATGGGATGTCTTGCGCAATTTGACCGTTAGACGCGCACGCGCTGGTAGGTACCGTAGTGCTTGACGGCCTGCTCTCGTCATCCAGCTACGCCGCACTCTGGTGGCCCGCACACCTACCACAGAGACACCTTGTTTTGGTCTGCAAGATCGCGGAGCTTTGTTGAACATAGGCATTTTCTCCTTTTTCCACATACCCTACCTACAGGCCATTGTGGATCGTCGGGGAAGGATCTCCGCCTAGCTAATTGTGGGGGATTGGCCGCTAGAGTCTGACATGGCCTACCAGGTCTATCCCAGGTCCTAAGGGTTTCACCAAAACCAAGACTGACATGTCGGTACAGTAGCAGGGCATTCTACCAATCAAGTGTTGATTCCAGCCATATTGCACGGCTGTACTGGACACACAACAGCCCAAGGAGACCCTTCTTGTTACATGACATAGACAAAACCTGTCGCCTCCTAGCTCTAGGACGTTCGAGCCATTGACTGGCCAAATGCAATCAACAGCGAGGAAGACCCTCCGATTTACTTGGGACCTTCCGTCGACCCAGCTTACAGGGATACTCATCAATCAGACCACTGGGGCAGAAATCGCGTGTTCATAATTGACCGCAAACAATCGCCAGCTCGAAGCATAGCCGGGCCCAGCACCCGCCTCTACCGGTACGTTGGCAAGATCGGAAATGGAGCCTAACACAAACCTCGATTTCGACATGTCCCAAAAACCGTGCGGCGTGGCCTGTAGCCAAACATTCACTGTCGGACCAACACACCTTCACCCTAATGGCCCTATCGCACAGAGCCATGTTTAGATGTTTTCATTACTGTAACGAAGTTCAATCACGCTGCTACGGCGGCGCTCTCGATGTTGAATTGGTATTCCAGTCGTCCAACAACATGGGTGTCGCGACTCGACATCATGCAGCTCGGGACATCCTACCTTTCGAGATTCCAATGTCGCCAGTTCATCACCCAAGTATTGGCCAAGAAAGTGGGCTATATAACCCACATAACCCTAGCAACGAGCTACATATCTCGTGTACTAGTGGGATCTTGGATCTTGGACTGACTTGTGTAGCACACATTGGCGACCTGGAAACCTCATCTGAAGGGCTAGGTTCTGGATGTGGGCGCATGATGAGGAACAATGATCCAGTACCGGTATGGAACATCAATCAGATCAGCCTGAATCCTGGATGTCGTACCAGGACCTTCTGGACAGGTAGTTCCCAGATCAGGGAGGATCTCTGCTGGTGATGTAGGCCATTCCGGACATGCCTGATACCTACGACTGCCCACTCCGCACTGTTCCGAATGAGTTCATGTTGGCGGTAAAAGTTCTTTGCTCAGTTTCTGGGATACCAAGGCGACAAGGCCGAGGGCCCAAGACCACGAATGTACATTACCCCGCAAATGAGTCAAGCGCATTGCGGACACACAACTCATATTTGCAGTTAGTACACCAACAAGACTCATACATAGGTATTTCGCACCGAAGCCATCCAACACTAGCTTGTAGTTGACTACCTCAATCTTGGGACACCAGATTTACCCTGTCAAATTACCGCATCCCATTGTTATACAGGAACAGCTACCGAGCAGGCTTGGAAGCCTGGAAACAAAGTTCATCCTCCGAAGAAATATCGTTTATGCAGGACTACCAAGGACCATCAATACCTACACAGCTGTGACAGAGATGATCTTATTGTGAATATTCACATAGTATGCATTATGCTTATGCTCATCGTATGGGGCAAGGGTTCAGTGGGTGGCACAACATTAGCCGGCCGGTCCAGCTCACTGCATCGACATGACAGCCATCTCGTATCTGCAGGTAGCCACACTAATTTCCGACATGATCACGACGCAAGACCTGTACGTTTTTGTCTTCTCTTTGCCCTTTTTGTACTTGGAATGGACCGGTCTCGCATCAATCAGCGTTTCTGTGGCTTCGGTGAGTCGACAATGTACCGGTCCACCTCCAATTGCTAGCCTGGTAGGTATCTGACTCTCAATGTCAAAAATTGTGCTTCTCTCGACGCGCTGTGTTGGAGCTGTCCTTGTTGCAACATCGAGACTTGCTGTAGGATAGCATCCATTATTCACAGTCTCGTGGCGACTAGACAACCTCAGAGTACCCTTTACCGGTACTCAAGCTTCTAGCTCCTGGTGCAAATCGATGGTTCGGAGGCACCATAACTGAGATTCTATTACCCACTCCATTGCCCCCCCTACCCCCGCATTTCGACTCCAGTCCTCCAGGTTAGCGGTCCACCGGCCGCATTGCTCTCCACTTTCCGCCTTTAGACAGCTGGAATTGCACCGTCTTGGCATACGATACACATTCGGCTCAAATGTACTTGGCAGAACTGGCGAGGAACTTTGCACGTGCCGTGATTGCACCAGGGTCGGAACAACTGAACGACTTTCAGCAAAATCGATCTGACATGCATGCGCCGTGGTTCCCACGTTGTGTTATGAATCATGCTTGTCCCTGGATATCAAAAGAGTATCGTCTTTGAATGAGGACTTACTGATGTGATGAAAAGTATTGATTAAAGAATCTATGGACGAAAAGCCAAGGTGGCTAGATATAGATATCCCCACTAGTCCCAAATGGGTGTCTCCCAGACAACCCGGACAGGGGAGTCTCCACCATTAGTGGTGGGTAGTTACTACCTTAGTATAAGGTAAGCACTATAGGTAATAAAGAAATAATAGTCCCCTAAATCTATAGTAACTATAAATATGCAAAGAAAAAATATCTATATTAGATAGTAAGCTCTAAGATAAGTTAATCAAGTCTCTCTAACGTTAGACGTGGCAATGCTTTAGTGTATATATTAGCTAGGTTCTCCGCTAATATAATATATTAGATGCTATAATTGCTAGCTAAAAATCGCTCCTAGATAAAGTAGTAATATACGTGAATATATTTTAACTATAAATTAAGCTTTTAGTCTTAAATAAGTAAGATAGTAGGTTTATTATCCACGAGCAGCTAATATATTAGCTTTATAGGTATTAATTCTATAATAGCGTGACAGGCCTAGACTAAATATAAGGTAGTATATAAGGAAGCTATATATTTAGTTTTATAAGTACTTTATATAATATAGCTCTATCTCTTAGAAGACTAGGAGATAACTAAGCTATTAATCTTTAGGATATATCTAGAAAATAACTTTAAATTATTAGGATCTAATATGTACAAAGCGTCTAAGTATATTATAACCTCTAGGCGTTATCTACTAGGTAGTGTTCTAATTATTAACTAATATACAGATATAGCGCGAATATACTAGAGTACTTAGAATACTAACTTAAGGTAGTTATCTAATAGGTTAGTATTATATAAACTAAGAAGTCTAATAATATATACTAGATTAGGTCTACTTACTACTACTATAAAGTTAAGTAAACTAATAATAGATTAGAATTTCTTCTATTAGTTAAGATTAATAGGTACTTTAGCAGGGGTCTATAGTAGGAATAAGCTAGGGTTAATAGGTATCTATTGCCTATTACAGTCTATTATCCTATATTATTAAAGCACTGCTATAATATAGGTGTGTTAGTAGAGTTTAATATAGTAGTTAAGATGCTTAATTTCTAGACTAAGGAGTATTCTAGGACATCCTAGATCTTAAAATTAGAAGTGGGTCTTTATAAGTTTAAGTATATAGGCAATCTAATATTATATACCTACTATTAGGACGTTGTCTATATAGATTCTAAGAACTAGATACTCTAATATAAAGATATAGGGGGTAAAATCTACTTAGATAAAATACTAGGTCTTTAGCTAATCTAATAGGATAGTATACTATTTACGTCCTAATTGCTTAAGTCTATAGAGTATCTTAAGTAGTAGGAACACTAAACTATTATTAGCTATTCCTAGCAGTAGCTAGCAGTATATCTTGTGCTTAAGATATCTATTTAGGTATATAGCGTTAAAGTCTACCTATTACACATACTATCCCTTTATAGTAGCTAGTACTAGGAGTATGCGTAGACTATTATATCTAATAACTAGGGAGTATATATTATTATAGTTAAAACTATAGCGTTAAGAAAATCCCTATATAACAAGCTATGCTTTTCTCTTAACTATATTGCTAGATTTATCTTGCTTAGTATTAAAAACCTAGTAGGTGCCTATAAGCTTTGTCCCTAAAGGTATCTTATATTAGGGTACCACTTTCTAGGTTCTATTATTAGCATAATTAGCAATCTCCTTCTCTATAGCAGGGCGCTATAAGGAAGTATAGGCATTGCTAGTAGCTTCTATATATATCTATAGAGTATCTATTAATATTACTATAGTAGAGAAGGTTATTAAGAATAGATAGGTATATACAAGTGTATCCTCCTTATATATAGTTAAGAAGGGTTGTGCTAATATATATATACCTTAGTATTGCTTAGGTATTCTTATCTATCGCCTAATATAGGTAATAGCTCCTTATAAGGATATAGATAATTTAGAGGTTCGTAACCTCTTATATAGTAGGTTAGAAGTTTGCAAGCTTAGGGATCCTAGAGATAGCGTATCCTATACTGTCGCAGTTAGTAGATAGTTAGAGAGGCGGTTAGGACTACTAAGAAAATTCTGTAGTAGACTTGTAGCTCTGCTCTTAAGGGTAGGAGTTTATAGGGTAGAGGGAAGGTTACTAATATCCCCTGTAAAGGACTTAGGCTTATGCCTAAGCCTAGGTCTAACACAAGATGGACTAAGTCTAACACTACTACTAAGCGAACACACTTGACACCTATAAAAAGGCGTAGAGGGCTTATCTCTCCTTTAAGATACTAAATACTATTATTAATACTTATTGTATTCTCCCTTAAGGCTAGTCTATAATATTTTAGTATCTTCTTCTAAATATACTATAATAGTAATAAGAGATAAACGCGCTAGATATTTAGAATAACTAGGTGTAACCTAATATAGTAGAAAGGCTAATATAATAGGTCTATAGATTAATAGAATAATAGGCTTAAGACTCTACTATAATAGCTATACTATATTAATAGAATAAGGAAATACGTAATTAGATTCTATCCTAACCCTCCTCTAAGCCTACTAGGTTTAATAATATACTGCCTCTACCCTCTCCTACCTTATATTACAAACCCTTCCTAGTTAGCTTGCTATATAATAGCACTAAGGCAAACTTCTTCTCCTAGTAAATAACTATAGAGTTTAAACTATGTGTAGATAAGGTCTTTATTAAGGATAAGGAGGCAAGGTTTATATATATTTAGTCCTAGTTATTACCTATAGTCTAGCGCGCTATAGCACTATACTTTAAGGATAGTGCATATAAGTATTAGCATATAAGCAGGTTTCTTAACTACCTAGCGTTCTATTATAGTAACTATTATAGGTAGGAGCGCGCCTAAGTTATATTAGAACACTTATATTAGGGCTAAAATTAGCCTTTTATAGAGTTCTTTATAAATTTTATATAGCTCCTTATATAGTTAGAAGGTTTATACTAGGATAATAAATAGAAGCTTTTATAACTTTAGTAATCTCTTAATAGTTATATACGCTTAGTTTCCCTTAATAGGGGAGTCTCTAGGATAAACTATAATATAGCTATAAAGGAATATAAGATAATTATAGTAGATATTAAAATAGCCTCTCTAGAACTAGGCTTTCTTTAGGCTAGTAAGTCTAAGGAACCCTAGTAGAAGTCTAACTTAGATTAGGATAGTAACATAAATATAGTAGAAGTAGCAGCCTTATTAAGTGCACCTACTAAACTACTAATATTACGCCCTAACTAGATCCTATAGGACCTGTTTAATATATAGAAACTAGCAAGGGTCTATACCTAGTGTAGATAGGGTAGTTATTTTGTGCGTGTATGCCCTAATGCCCTATTACTGCAACTAGTAGGTGTTAAGATAGTTGCAGCATTAGCAAGCGGCCCTAATTTAGGAAACTAGCCACCCCTAACTTTAGGCTAAGTTAGGGGTATAAGGAGGACACTATAATAGAGGAATTATTAATAGTAGAGGTGTAATAACCCTATTATAAAGACACCTTGTAGTGTTCTAGTTAATTAGGTTTAGTGTCTTAGCGCCCAAGCTGCGTAAAACCTACGCTTCGCGCAGGGCTTAGGTAAGACAAGTATTATTCTTATATTAATACTATACTAATAGCTATCTCTATACTATTCTATCTAGTGTAAAGTAAATACTATTACCTATAACTAGAACCTTATATAATAATACTTCTTATTTAATAGTCTAGAGATAGCTCTATCTATGCGTATAAATAGCTAAGGGGTACTACTAGTAAAAATATAACTACCCCCTATTAAGCTATAACTAAGGGAAGAACTAGTAAGTAGTTCCCCCCTAAGTAATAAGCAGTAAACCCCTACGCTAGACGTAGACTTAACGCTTAATAAGCGTATCTAAGCCGCCTAAAGGAGACGTAATAAACTCTAGAAACTATAACACCTATATAAACTAGAAGCTAAGATCCTACACCTTAAAAGCCTAGAAAGGGATACTACCCTAGACTTAATAGGGAGTATAATAGAGGATGTCCCTAAGATACTTAAAAATATATATAAGTAGGGCGTATCTAGGGCGCTAACGCCCCTACCTTTAAAGCGCATGCTAAAACTAAAGGATCTATTAGAATATAAGGGAAAAAACCTTAAGGAATATTATAAATTCTTTTACTCTTATAAGGGAGCCTTTCTACTATTACTATAGACTTTCTACTATAATAAGGATAAGGTTCTTTAGGCTATATAGTACTTAGCAGGAGACCCCTAAGAACTATAGTATACGCACTTTAAGCGCATATTTAGAGTAACTACTATAATACTAACCTAGTTATATTTTAAGGCGTATATACTTAACTTACTCTCTAACCCTATTAATTATATACTTAAAGTAGCTATAACGTATACTTAGGTAATATAGCGTAGGGACTAAATAGTTTACTCCTTTATAATATACCTTAAAGTCCTAGAGGATTAACTTACTCCCTATACTAAATAATAGAGAGTCTAGCATCTTTTCTTAAAGCTAAGGCTAGAGATATAGCAAGTAATTACTAACTACTACTAAGTACTAGTAATAAGAGAGGATTTAATAGCGTTAGGCTCTACACTTAAGTAAAACCTATACTAACCCTCTTTAACACGTAATTATAATATATATCCTAAGGGAAATACTAGATATAAAGACTAGAAGCTAGGGGAGAAGCTACCTCCTCCTATAAATAAGCTACCTTAAAATAAGAATAGTATTACCTATTTTAAATATTAAAAGAAAGGCTACTACGCTAATAAGTATAAAAGTAGTAACCTAAATTAGATCCCTGTGCGTATTAATAAGATAGGAAAAGCTTAAGCCTTACTAATAACCTAGGGATAGTAAGGCATATTCTAATATATATCTTACTAGGTATAAAGCATATATATAGTATAGCTAGGGAGATAACCCTAGAGAGATAACTATAGGTTATTTTAGACCCTTAGGTAGATAT